AACGCACATACTGCTTGTACGCCGCGATATAATAATATATATAATATATATATATCTATGTATATATGTATAATATTTATATATGTATATGGTGTGTATCGCTCGCGTTTAGGGCGCCAGGTTTCATCTTTTTCCCAAAATTTTTTTTTAACCCTCGTCACATAATATCAAATATTTATAATTATTCACTCGTTCTGCCATGCGTAATATCGTTTAGCGTGTAGCGTGGATCAGTATTGCGGTGTGTATGTCTCTGTGTGTGTACTTTTTTTCTCTTTACGCCTAAAAATCGCCTTCTTCTCATGTAATTATTTACAATCGTTCGTCGTTAATTAATCGTTATGTTTCGCATTTCGTGTCCTGTACACGTCGCTCCTACATTATCCGTCCACGAGAGTGGTTCTCTCACGACGAAGAGGAAGGGTAAAAATTATCCGAGGAAAGAAAGAAAAATTAAAAAAAGAAAAAAGAAATAAAAATAATAATAAGTAAAAGATAAAAAAAAAAAGGGTGAAGAAAGAAAAACATAGGAAATCTCGAGGAGAATTTTACATCTAGTCCAATCGGTTGGTTCTCCTCGAATTTTCCCATCTTCACTCTCGTCTGTTCTCTCTTTCTCTCTCATTTTCGCTTCGCTTTCCACCCCTAAAATACTATCGACATTTGATCGATCGTTGCTCTCTCGCTCTCTCTCGCTCTCTCTCACTTACTCGCTCTTCGTCCCGATTTAATTAAACACTCACACATGCAGTGCACTCATACCACACACCAGGCAACCCGGAAATTAATGGATATATTTGTTCGACTACACGGTAGCCACAGCGCTCGACCAATGGAACGAGAGAGACGCTTCATCTCCCTATCTTACATTGTTCCTTAATCATCTGCGTCTCCGTGGTTCACTAGAAGGTCTTCGACTCTCCACCAATTACGCTGTCTCATCGATACCTTCTTCACTGTCTGACACTTTCGACGACCGCGAAGTTGACGAAATTTTATTTCCCTTTTTCCCTCTTTGCTTCCTTGTTTATAATATCGAACAGCTGAGTTCACCGACGGGTTTACGAGAGAGATCGAGCAATCCGATCCTCTCACCCCATTGGACGATCGTTAAAACTAGATTACTATTTAGAAGGAAAATCGACACGCCGCCACGACATACGTCCGCAGGGAGAAACTCGCGTGATTCGAGCGATATCGTGATAGACGATCGAGCTGCGAGCACGTCCAGAAATTATCAGGAAGACCTTCGTAATTTCTCGACGAGGAAACCACGAATCGACCGGTCGTTTCTCCTTTATTTTACGATCTTCGCTTTATCCCGGTTCTTAACTCGGTCTTATCATTTTATCTAACGACGTTCATCGAAACAGAAGGTGTCCGCGACGAATTCCCTCTTTCGATTTTGGTTTCGACGCGTGCTTACACGAGCTTTAAAACGGATGACGATCACATGCTGCAGAGACAGGAAGCTTCGAGGAGAGGGCTTTAAGCGTGCAAGACATCGAGGCACGTTTCGATTCTTTTCTTTTTCCTTATTCTTTTCTTTTTCTTTTTTTTTTTTTGTTGCTTTCCTTCCCTCTTAAGAAAACTCTCGGAACGCTTTCTAATTCGTCTCTTTGATCAACGATCCGCTCAACCGATTACAACTGTCTACGTGTGCCGATCAAATGACTGATTCTGTCTACTCTAACGATCGATTTCAGCAGAACGATCGATGCCGTATCGTAGACGCGATTTCTTTATTTTATTTTATTCTTTTTATTTATTTACTTTTTTTTTTTGTTCATGCTCAAGACCGATGCTTCCACAATCGAAACGCGTGATCGAAAATCAACGAGGATCGCAGTGTCGCTAGCGATGACAATAACAATAATAATAACCACTAAAATACGCGCTATGTATATTATTTCTGTACAAAGTGTGTGTATGTGTGTGTGTGTGTGTGTGTATGTGTGTAATTGCACAATCGCATTTTTCTTCCTTTTCTCGTGTCTCGTCGTGTTCGTCGCTGAAACGGAGTTACATTTAATATAATATTCTTTCTTCTCGCTTCCTTCCACTTCCCGCCTTCCCATTTTTCTTTCTCGCCTGCTTGTTTCGTGTATAGTAAGTCAATAAGCGTTTGCTCCTCAAGGCAGCTCCGCAAATAGAGAAATAGTGATACCTGGCAGTAAAAAGGAAAAATAGTTTGTCTTGTCAATTCGAACAAGATTGTCATAGATATTCGCACGCGAGTGTCGATTCAAAACACGCCTCTGTCCGCGCGCGCAAATGGAACAATGCTTAATTATAATAAACTACGCAACGTTAGCGCGATACGAACAACGAAGTCATCGATTGAAAACTCGATTAAAATCACGGTCCGTGGAATTATATCGATAAATCACATAATAGCCGCCATATATCGCGAAGCCTGCGTTATTTTCTTTTTATCCCATATATATATATTTTTTTTTTTCGTTTTTCAATTTTCTATTTTCCCCTTTGCAATTTTGTTCGTTCGTCTCGATAAAAACGAAGTGTTCGTTTCGTTTCGTTTCGTTGAAAAAATTTTTCTTTCCTTCCGAGTCGATGATAATTCGCTATCAGTTACATATTTTGTTCTTTATCATTTTTTTTTTTCTTTTTTAAACGTCAACATATAAAAATATCTCAAACTAACGCATCTTTAAACAACTAAATCGAAAGCTAAATCAATCTTCCTTATCGACGGCTCTCAACGTCTTCTTCCGTTTCCTGTCTTTCCGTATTTCTCACGTTCTTTATTTTTCTCTTGCTATCGTTTACAGCGATGCACGTTCTTCTCGTTTCCAACGTCGAGTTTGAGTATTTCGCGAATTATCCGCAAGATATCGTTATCACACGAACGCTAAAGGGTTAAAACTTTTCTCTTTAGGAATCGTTTCACGTATACGCGTTTGATGCCAGGTGACACTGACGAGCTAGCTTGATGGCAAAAGAGAAGTATGGTGTTTCTACATCTACGGGAAGATCCGTTCACACGCGAGCTCACACCGGTGTATTTTTCATTTCTCTCGTCCTTGATCAAAGAAATTTCAGCGACCACGAAGAGAAGCTATTTCAAGCGTGGTCTTCGTCAATCGTGCTACTTTCTATCGTCTGTTATCGATCTAACTATTATTACTTCCAATGTATACGTTTAATTCGCATATTACCTTAAAGTTTATTTAAAGACATCTCTCTCTCTTTTCGATTAGTCTAGCTGTCTCGATAAAAGTGAATAATCAATGCCTCGCGGTTCAAATCGTTCAGAGAGTCGGCAAAGTCTCGCAGACGCCGCGGAACAAGCAATCAGCTGCTCTCCTTCAACAGAGAGGTTCCGCGAACCCTCGTACAAAAGGAGTCTTATCATTACACGTAGAACGACGCTTTTGATTTTCTAAGTTGCGAATTTCTAACTGCAATCTTAGTCTCTACCGTTCTCCAAGTACCATTTACGACTCGTTAATCTATCTTCATCGATCTTCTCTCATCCTACCTACCCTTCTCTCTCTTTACTCCTTCGGTTATCTATTTATTTATTTATTTACTTTACTTTACTTTAACTCTTTTTTTGGCATCGAAAGAATGCAAAAGTGCTCAAAAAGATATCCGCGCTGGATAACGATTCTGCAAGGACCAGGACGTCGTATCGGGTGAGCCGAGGTGTGAACGAGCCTTGTAACGAAGAGAAATCAGCGAGTGACCCGACGCGATCCCCTTGCAATTTTCTTTCGCATTTCTCTGATCATTCCATGGGACGGGTCACCCTATCACAATCTTCGTCGACGTCGTGGAGACGTTCGTCGTCAGCGCTGATGGCGGATGACCCGATGGGGGATGATGGATGACGACTACCGATGAGAGAGACGCGATGCATGACACGATGACGACGAGGAGACGACGACGAATGACAACACGACGCAGCAACGTCATAAAAAGAAACCACCGTCACCGTCGCCCGAGTACCGCGGAGTAATAGTAACTCCTCCCGTCGTGATAATACCCTCGGTAGCCACGATCAACCGAGAGAGATTTTTATCCAGCCTCGACGCGAGGCCACCACACTGCACCTTCACCTATACCCGCACCACCACACTGTAGCACCTCAACACATTGCAATTGTCATGGCCTATGGAACCTGAAACAGAACAGAATATAAATACGCTAGGGTCTGACTTAATCGCGGGGGAAGAATGGAGTTGGAGTCTGAAGTAAGGGGTTGATCATTTCACTAATTCGAAGAAAAGAAAGAAATTTGAAGCTATTGTTATATCTTGGAATATTTCTGGTGGGAAACTTGTGCTTGAAGATTTAGGGTATATGAATATTTAATTTACAAGGAATAGGACGGAAGTTCATTATTTCTATTATAAATTTGGCTTCAATGTTAGAACTGGCAAACGAATTAAGGCGATTAGATCTGAGATAAAGGTCAAACTCGAGTTACGTTATTGCCATAGATATACCAAAAACTAGCCTACCTGGTGAGGTGTCGGCTGTCTTCATGAACGGCCATCTCCGAACTCTTAAACTCGTTCAACTCCTTCCTAATGGCTGCCTTGTCCTTAGGAGTCAACCGCGTCCAGGGTTTGTCGGCCCTTCTGTCGTAGTCGTGGGCCTGCGTGACTTCGATGTAGTCGTTGAACCTGATGATCTATTTGACAAGAACAAGGACATTAAAATTCCATTCGATTTCACCCCATTTCACCCACCGCGAGAAAAATAATTAAAAAGAATACGCGAAAAATACCTTCTTTTCCTTAAGCTCTTCGACGGTCGGTCGAAAGCTGAGCTTCCGCAGCAGATACCGCTTTTTCTCCTCTTTCTGCTTCTTCTCCTCCGCGGGACTTTGCTCTGCAAATAAATCACGCTGTATCCATGGTGTTTCAGAAAATTGAAAATTTCGAGAACAATCGAGAATTGTACATCGATATCGTCGGATATCGAAGAGAAATTCTATGTCGACGTGAGTTTTCGAAGCTTACTTTTCAAAATGTTTCGTTCCTCGAGTTCCTCCTGGGTTGGCCGCATGCTCAGCCGCCTGAAACAAGAACGCCGCGAGAATCAGTGCAGGTCTATCGGTTTTAAGCCGCTTTTCTCTTCGGCGGCGATCGGTTGAAAAGGCGAAAGGAGGGTGTAAAACCAGCGAGCAGGCAAATAAGTGAATCACCGTGGTCAACTGTTTGCCCCATGATCCGACGTAATCCTCTCAGTGACAGCTGTCGGTTTAGTCACGTATTCTTCCACGGATACCGCTTCAAAGTATTACGTCGGACGCGAAAGCATCGCGATAGACGTTTCGATTTTTCGGAAAGACTATTTGTCCAAGATACCACGATATCTCCTAGATTCAATATTACTTCTACGATTTCACGTGATTTTATAATTTTAATAGCCCTACTTCATTTTTACGTTACTCAGCTGCTATAAAATAATTTTCCAATCTTTCAAACTAAAATACGAAATTTTCTAGGACTCTTTCTAGTCCCTGTCAAATCCACTGGCCCCAAAATTGACGAAAAGTTACCTCGCTATTAACCCTTCACACTCGAATTTTTTGATATAAAGACAGAACAATTCGAAGCTTTTCTCGTATCTTTTTAAGCTCGATGTTAAATGCATTTATGCTAAAATAAAATCAGGGATGGGTTCGAAACTAACTTTCCAATCTTTCAAACTAAAATACGAAATTTTCTAGGATTCTTTCTAGTCCCTGTCAAATCCATTGGCCCCAAATTTGACGAAAAGTTACCTCGCTATTAACCCTTCACACTCGAATTTTTTGATATAAAGACAGAACAATTCGAAGCTTTTCTCGTACCTTTTTAAGCTCGATGTTAAATGCATTTATGCTAAAATAAAATATTTTAATCCGCGAACGAATTATCAAGCCTTCGCGTGGCGAAGATCAATAGACGATGGCGCGCGAAGGACGTTGCGATCGGGCCTTCGATCACGATCGAGGAATTCGCGTTCACCACCCAAGGGTTCCACGGGGCTTGAGGAAACAAATGCTCGTGTTCCCGGTTTAATTCCTAAATTTAGGAACCGTGGCTGCGTGAATGCGAGTGCATAAATTCGGCGAACACAGCTACTCGCCTGGCCGATATCGCGAACGGTTCAGGCGAGCTTTTCTATGCCGGCAGAGGCAGACGTCGCTATTCATGGCAACGCGAGATACGCGAGGATTCAGTGGCTGTTTCAATGGCGGACGATCAATGGACCGGCCTCGAATAATGCTGCCATGCTTCTCCCTATTATTTTTTATTCCCTTTCTATTTTACCGGCATTAAGCACGCGCGGTTTATCGAAGCTTTTAACGATCCTCCACGAGGAAGTTTCCGTTTTTGTTTAGTCTTTCATCCTATTTTTCTCCTTTTCTCTTTTCCGCTTTATTTTGCCAATTCGTTTTGGAGAAAATTGTGACGATTTTCGGGGGAGGGAATATGGTCGTAGAGAAAAATAAATTTCGTTTCGTTTTCGAGAGTTAATTAGGTTGTAGGTGATTAACACTAGGTTTACAGACGCTATCTCTATAGATACGCTATTTAGATAATAAACGTTATTTATATAGATAAATAGACGCTATTTCCACATATTTGACACCTGTCAAATTGACAGGTAAAAGAAATCACGTGTCTTTTTTTTTTAACGATTAGTTTAATTTAAAAACTGTTGGAAGTCAGCTACGCCCATGCAACGATGACGACAGGCCTGTTATAGGTTGCAGACCAATACCGACCTTTGGACTTCAAGGGGTCGGTTTTGGGGGTTTAAAAGGGCCTGCTGTCCCTCGGAGCTCCTCACTCTCAAATCAGGAACAGTACAGATATCTTATACATTGTGACTCACAGTGGCATTAAAAAGGACTCTAGTATTTCATTTGTATATTGCATAAAGTGCATAAATTTCACGTATATTAAACCTTCATAAATACAATTGCTGTATAACTGAATACAGTTACTTCCCTGCACGTTAATCATTTGGCTATTTCCTTCACGAAATTCCCAACAAAAACAATTACAATATTAACAGTCTTAATATAAGTTAACTAAATCAATTAGCATGGTATAATTGAAGCAACCCATCTGTCAAATTGACGGGTTCCGTAAATCTAGTGTTAAAGTATCACGTGGTGCCCTGATCGGTAGGTTTTCTTCATCTGCTCGCCTAATTTTTTGGCGAAATTAAATAGTATACATGTGTTTATTAAAATTTTGCTTGAACCGGTTTGTTAATGACAAATAAAGGAATGAAATTGTGAAGAGTGAAGTAAATTTGGCATCGTGACATTCGCGAAGGATAATTCCCTCGATTTTAATTTCCATGAATTTCATTTTGTCGCGTTTCTATGAAATTTTATTTAAATATTATTCCTATTTCGCAAATCTTCTTCAAAATTCCTATAAAAAGTATCCCGCATCTGTAATTAATTCCACGAGGATTTTTATTTCTCGTTTTTGTATTTTCTATTATTTTTAATTTCCTTCACCTTCAATTCCTGTATTCTCGATTCCCATTTTTAATTCTGGTTTCTTCAGTGACGTGGATGTCACTGTCGAAGCTCTGATAGATTGGAAATCGGGGAAATATTCCGATCGATCCGGGTTCGCGAGGAAAAGAAGGAAGAAAGGAGAAAGAATATTTTTTCACCTGATGAGCTTGGCACCGATTGCCTCCTTCGTTTCCTGCCTCTCATTGTCCGTCTGCAGTTGAAGGATGTTCCTGTTGATGAGCTCCTGCCTGTCTGGCCTGAGGGCGAGCTTCAGCGACAGCGACTCCTTGCGCGCAATCTTTGCTGCCAACCGGCCTGCAATTACACAAACAATTAGTCTCTTAATTAAACATCCCTTATGTGCTTACGACTCTCAGACGTGTATCTCGTTTGGCTTCCCTAAGTGACAATTAATTTTCTAAGCAACTCGTTAATCGACTTTACATAATACACTCGAAATTAAATCTCAGATATTTTTCTCGTAAACTCGATTGAACAATTTGCAAAATTTTGAATAAATTATAAGAATCTTTTCTAGGCTTAAGTTTTATTCTGGAGGCGATGACAAATAATTTTCTAATTAATCGAATTTATGTAACACATTCGAAATTAAATATTAGGTACTTTTCTTAGAATCTCGATGTAACAATCGTGTAAAAAATTTGCAAAATTTTTAATAAATTATAGGAATTTCTTCTAGACTTAAATTTTGTTCTCAAGACGACGATAATTAATTTTCTGGCGTCAATTGAATTTATCTAATAAATTCAAAATTAAATCTCACGTATTTTTCTTATAATCACAATATTACAATCGTGTAAAAGGTTTGCAAAGTTTTTAATAAATTATAGGAATTTCTTCTACGCTTAAATTTTGTACTCGAGGCGACGATAATTAATTTTATAAGTAATCGAATTTATGTAATAGACTCGAAATTAAATTCCAGGTATTTTTTTATAATCGCAATATTACAAACGTGTAAAAGATTTGCAAAATTTTTAAATAAATTAGAGGAATTTTCATACTAATCGAAATTAAATTAGATTTCTCTGTGATCATTGCTGCAATATTAGGTGTGAGATTAATTTAATTAAAAATTATGTACGTAGAATAACATATTTATTCCTAAATTCCTCCGTTTCCTTTATATCTTCCAAACCAAGAGTCAAATTTTTATATTTACTACGCAGTAAATCAAATTTCTCTCTACTCTCTTATCATCTCTATAAAACATAATATCAGATTAAATAAAAGAAAAATTGAAATATATATTTTAGACCTCGTCTTATCTCTAACCATTTATCTTTATTCACATCCTCGCACAATAGCCTCGCTATCGTTACACGTCAATGTCCACGCGGCGGCCATAATTCAACGCAAGCATGACAGTCTATATCCACTGATCAAGGCACGCGGTAATCTTCCATCGAACCTTTCCATTCTATTTTAAACAACGACTTATTTAAATTCGATGGCGATTTACCAGTGACAAGGGCTGAGCAGCTGAGGCTGCGATGCAACGATGGCTCGCGTTTGAAGGGTTCGATCGAGCCACAGGCGATCGACAAAGTCGACGCGGTCCAGATCGACAGCATGGTGTCATCGCTCTGTCCAACCCTCGACCTCTCTCCCAATTCCTCTCCCAATTCCTCTCCCGATCTTCTTCCACTCTCCTCGAACCTATCTCGATTTAACTCCACTCGACGAACGTGAAAAATCGCTCGACCGCTTCTTCCACCCTGTCTCGATTTAACTCCGCTCTACCTACGCGAAAAATCAGTTGACCACTTCTCCACCAACCTCTTTGGATATAACCAAACTCGAAGAACGTGAAAAATCGATTCACCGTTTCCTCCAACCTATCACGATTCAACTCGAAGAGCCTGAGAGATCGTTTGACCGCTTCTTCGAAGCTCTTCTTCGACGTTGAGGAATTTGGTCGGGGGTGGATGTACCCTGGTTTTGGGGCACGAGAAAAATTCCCGATCTTCGTGCGATCGATACGCAAGATTTTACGGATGGTGCTCGATCGCGATTCGAAAGTTGCTTCTCGATAGGAGGCGGAAAACTCATGCAAAACAACGGCCAGAAACACACTGAATTGCGTGATCACGCGTCTGTCTATGTGAATAAACGTATCGCGCCGGGAGTATAATTAGTACGGACCGTGAATGCTGATTTCGTGGCTTTGGCAATCGAGCTATCGGAACTTTTTCGCTATTCTTTTCACGCTCTGTGTTTTCTTTACCGCGGTGGTTTATCGGTCCTCGGGAACCGTCGTGGAAATTTACTTTGTCGTCCTGCTTTCGGTGTGTGGCAAACGATACTACACCCTGAGGACCCTAGCGATCCTCGAGTACCTTCAAGATGGTGTATTTTGAGCAGAAAATAATAAATTTCGCATAATATAATATAATATAAAAATATAAACTCTTGTAAACACGTGCCTCATCAATTACTATATTTTATGCGTCGTATTAACCTGATCTTTTGGTACGTTTTCGTGTATCTTGTATTTCTATATTCTCCTGTGCAATAATGGATATTTACCCCGTTTAATGAATAAATAAATTATGAATCGAATTCGATATTAATTCTATTTCGACGTAATTAATTTTGGTAATTAATTCAATTCCAATGGTTAATTATTAACAGTTCAATTCCGATTGATTCATGCAGTTGGTAATGTTGTCGGACCGACGAGTTTCTAGAGTAGCTATGGCTTTTACAGTTCGGTTAGCGGGATACGGTCGCGACTCTGATCATTTCACTGAAAAACGCGCGATAATTCGAGCTAGGGTGCTTCGAAACGTGTAAACGAAATTAACGAACGCGAGCTCTCGATTCTCGGGGCACGACTGTTTCGAGTTGCTGAACGAAGCGTCGAGCAGTGTCTAATTGGACACACGAGGTGGAATTAGTCCAAGATCAAAAGTCACGTTCGCAGTCCTCTCATGCAAAATTTCTCGCGATCGCGTGTTCCTGGGTATATTCCAGCAAGATTAGAAATATTTATCGAAGCCCCTCTAATTCCGAGCCGGCTAAAAATGATTCTCGAATAACGAGCGATCGATTTTATCTACTTGAAGAATTTATTTGCCGAATTTATTCGGGAGTCTGGATGAATAATCGAACATCGGAAATGGTTCGTTTTCGTCGCTCTCCGCCCTTCCACGAAGGGGAGATGAAAAATAGATGAAGCTAGTTCGTCAGGAAAAGGCACTCTGCAGTGTAAAACTGGAATCGTATGAAATAAAACGTGTAATAATAACTATTCGAATTAACCCTTTGCACTTGAGAGGCGCCTCTCAGTCGCCATTTAACCAGATTCTAAAGATGGATATTAATTAATATATCAAATTTACAAGTACCCAACGATGCGTGGAATACCGAAGTAAAGTAATTCTACGTCTTAAGTTGCATACGATTTCTTATTTACCGATTTAAAAATATCGTTGATTTTATGACAGAAGATCTTCGAACTACTATTTTTCTGGAATGAAAAAATCACCGAGTGCAAAGGCTTAATATTTCCAAGACTCCATTAAATATTTCTTTTTCCTGGAAATATTCGATTTCTTATTTATGGCAGAGAGTCTTCGAATTACTATTTTCCTGTAACGAAAAATTCACCGAGTGTAAAGGGTTAAAAATAACGAATAAATCGAAAGACGAATAATTTATTCACAATTCGCGAAAATAGATGTAATTTATTCAAAACAATATTCTGTTTCGATTTGCAAATTTAAATACGGTATTGTCGATTTTTCATCTCGAGCAGCCCTTATGCAAATTAATCTAGAGTCTGTAATTTCGTCGACTTTCTTGATTCTCTTTACAACCGATACTCTTCCACGAACAAAATTCATCTCGTTACGATCACAGCGATTTTTCGAAGTAAATCAATAATCGTTTCATCTGCGAGTCTCAATACCCCTGGAAAAAGCATTTCGCGAAGGCACAAAAGCGTATCAGGATGTAATTTTTGAAAGGGATTAACTCGGCTCGCATTAAAAGCTAGAGCAAGCGCGGAAGAATCGGATGGAGCAATAGCAGGGTGGGAAAGTAGCCGGAAGAATCATTAACGAGTCGTTTAATTGCTTCGGATTAATTGTCAAGCGATTCACGTTCGCATCTGGCGTAGGTGGGGCCGGGAGAGGGAGAAATTTCAATTAGAAACGGTGACCGTTGCAGCTGTATCGTTTATGTAATTCGCTGCTGCGGAGGGGGTGGAAAACCGGAGAAAAAGAAGCGGAAGAAGACGAGGGTCGTGTCGTGTTTCTCATTAAGCCAGGCCGACATCGAACGAGCTTTCCCTTGGAAAAAAAAGCTTTTACCCTTCCAACCGTGAGATATTATTAAAAAATATTTCTACCGGCACGGGGTTCCCTAAGTGGCATTTGCAATGGCGGAACTTCGTTAATCGACGAGAATCTGATCGATGGATCGACGATAAATTCTATGCTTGCATGGAAAAATATCGCATTTCGTGTATTTTCATTTTTAATCTACTGTTCGGAAGATCTGACTCAAAATTTGGAAGATTGCACTTTTGCCGTTGAAAGTTTCTGGAAAATTATGGAGAAATAATTCGAAGCTTTATTATTATAAACTCGATGGAATCTCGATAACGCGAATAATGTGAAAATTTAATGTATTCTAACGTTATTTTATATAATAATAATAGGGTTATTCGGTCATACGTCGCACGCCATTTGAGTCGCGGTGTTAAAGAAAATGGCGGCTTTCAGGCGTCCCTGGAGCGCGAAGAAATAATTATTATTACTACCCCTTAAAATTGCACGATTTCTTTGAAGCTAAGAAATTTGTATTTGTTCACTTTTATTTAAACGAATAAGCAAATCGTATGTTTAATAATCGAATTAACGAGTAACATAGAGTTTGTTGAAATCGCGATATGGAGCGGTTTTCCATGCAAGCACAGAATTGTCGCCATTGTCTACTGGATAGATAATAGATTATATTCGTTGCTTTGGTGTTTAATGATACCGACGCGAAGGAAAATAATATGTACGAAGACGATTGCGAGTCTCAGGGATGTTAAAAAACTCACGACAGAGCTATTCCCTTGTGGAGGATAATGAAATTTAGCCACCGCTCGATAATCCATTAATTAACTTCCAATTGGGAAATCGATGGCCCACCCTTAGCTTTTAATAAACGAAGCAGAAGGTAAGTATAGTTTCTATTTAATTCGCACCCTCTACGGAAACTTTCCTAGCGTATTGAATTTCCGCGAGAATACGATGGTTCTGCTTTCGGGACGTTTTAATTAAGCACCGAAGAGCACGTGTGTATTCTATGAATTTTCACGCAAGTTACGGGCTTTTAATTAAAAATAAAAATGGACGAATAAAATTATTTCGAAATGGATTTTTAAGCGAATTTATATTTATTCGATTTCGGTATTCAATTTTTGGTTCCTTTAAAATGGAAATTTTATTTAACGATGATTGCAGCGCGCAGTAGGGCTCTTTAATTGGATTGTCTGCGTTTCTACGTAGTTAGTCTTCAATGAGTGTTACGTAGGGGAGCATGTCTTTTAATAGCCAATGCAATTGACATTCTGAATGCGTCTCTATTGTTCCAATGATATAGTTTGTGGCAGAGATAGCGAGTTATTGATGTTGCACATTGTTACCAAACATAGACCGAAAGTGCAGAGAGAAATTTCACTGCTGAATTAATTTTTTGCGAGCACCGTTGCAATATATCACCATTCAGCTTTGTTTGCCGTTCGTTTGATAATTTTCTTAAAATGCTGACTGTCGCGTGAATTTTGTACACGTTATTTCCAAAGCTGGAGTATTAACTTTCGCACGATACGTTGTAATATGCATACACGACATTTATTCCTTATTTACAACATAAAATTGTTCCGAAAATAATACTGTGTCTTATTCAATAATTAAATTATAGAAAAAGAAATTAATGTCCAATCACAAAAAATAATAAACTCTACGAAAAAATAAAAAATACCCACAATATACACCTCGTGTAAAAATGAATATACTTTATCCCAAAAAATTATTCGAGAACCACACACACACCAAAAAAAAATAAGATTCCCAAGAAAAGAAAGATAAAAGATATCCCAACATCAAAACAATTGTAACTATATAAATTCTAATTTTTAAATTACGATTATAATTACAAAATTACGATACCGTTAGAAAATACCCTAAATTTCCCGATTACGACTATCCATCTGATTCAAACATTCCAATTACACCCAACATCGGCTATATATAACCATCCTACCACCCAAAACATCAAACCACCCCTAATCGCCCACCTCTTCGATCCACTCCCATCTAGAACCACCCTCCTCATCGCACAGCCATCACATCCACTTCCGGTACTCACTTTTCTCATCGTCGTACTCGTCCCTGTAGAGTACCTGTCCGTCTCCAGGGTCGCCGTCGGCGTCCTCCCTTATCACGTACGGCCTCGCGTTCTCCTTGTTCTCCAGGGTGCACGGCAGGGCGAGCCCGAATCTGACTGGTCGGCTGCTGAAAGAATCGGCACGGGAAAAATCCGTTATTATTACTGTTCTGGTTAAACGGGGCGCTGGTTGACGCTACTCGAACCAATGTTCTACTCTACGACGCTTCAAGTACGAGATGCGGATATATGGAGGGGGATGAAACAACGATACACGGGCTGGACAGTATATGCACAGTGTGTACGTGTGTATGTATACGTGTGTGACACGTCGACGAAGATAACAGAAGCAAGTTGCCGGCTCTCCGTGAAACGGACGCCGTCCTTGTCCGTCACGAAATGGGTTATCAACGACGTCGACGCAGATAACGCCGTTTCCTTCGCGACGCGGATGCAGTTTTTCACGCTCAACTTCGCGTTTCCAGACTGCTCGAAACGCTCGCGATACCGCGAAAGGAAGCACCGACAGCTATTTCCTCTTTTCTTTTTAGATCCCGCCGGAGACCGGAGATCGCGTGACGGATGAAGCATGGCGCCTGATTTGTTTCTGTTACCATTTTTCGCAATGAGAAGATCGGTTCGAGGCTCGCTACGAAGGGGTTGACTTTGTCAGAGCTAATGATTTCAGCCGAGAACTGGTAGACTGCGAAATTGGACTTTGTACAGTTGCAGATATACTTTTGGGGTAGTTTTCAAGAAGCAGAATGGTGTCAGGTTCAGACGTATCCTTAATCCTTTGCACTGGATTCATACAGTTTCTGGTACTAGAATTACCGACTTGGGGAATATATTAGAGATGAGACGGAAGAGAAATGAGACAGACTAAGTACGAATGAAGATGGATATGACACGGCTCGTTGAACGTATGTCTAATGTATAGTAGACGCAAGTGATAATTACAGTACTATGATGAACATAAATAGGTATATAATAATTGAAGAAATTTTTCTTGACACGAAGATAATTATTTCGACTCGTTCGATAGTTCTAGTATTAACAGTCTGTGCATAGTGATTGTAGGATCATTGTATGATTTTAATAATAAAAGTAGGGCAAAGGATTAGGACACAAAGTAATAGAGAATAACAAAATATTGTAAGAGAAACGAACACGCATAAAGGTTTTAAATATCACAAACTCCAACGGTTTAAGCAGCTGGAACAGTGTAAGTCTTTAATGCCTTGAAATCCAGCTGTTCAAACGTTGAAATGTCACCTGAATTTAATTAACCCTTCAGTGATTACTCATGGTACTTCTACAGCAAAAACTAAAGCGCTCTAAATTACTCAAGGAATACTACTGATACTGTAGTCTATTATAATTAATATTACACAAAACCCTACATACTTGGTCTTGTTAATAATCCAAAAACTATCTCAATTGAATAAACCCAATTAAACTATACAAATCCACAAAAGTAACCAAAGCAGCGTACACCGAATCCAAACGAAATTCACCGACGTAACGATATCAGAATTTGAAGCCAAACTCACGGAAGAGTTAAAGAAAGCTCTCAACGAAATCGTGCACGAATTTTCATTACAAAAAAAGGATACATAAATAAAAAATAGAGAAAAAAAGGAGGAAGAGAAAAAGAAGAAAAATCCATAATTCTTGCCCGAAGAAACTCGGCAAAAGTTCAGTAGAATTCTGTAGGGCGCGTTATTTTCCACGCAGGAACACGATTCTCGGTGATGAAAGCGAACGAGCGTAAAAAGCGTGGAAGCCGCGCGGGCAATGAGAACGCAGAGAAGAGGGAACGCGAAGCGAAGAAACGTCACGGTTCCGGTGACGTTTCTTAATCCATTACAGCGAGAAACGAATAGAGCTGGTCTGCGAGAGCTCGATTCGTCGCTAACAATAAGATTCCCGAGATCCTCGTTCTCGTCGATCGATGGTTCGAGGTTCTCTGGCCGCATGAGACGCGGATAATGGAACGTGTGAAGCGTGGGCGACAGTTTTCATGGGTTTCCCTAGGGTTTTCTCATGCTTAAGGTCGTACGTTTACCATGCTCACGGCGTTCCTGATGCTGACACACAGAGAGAAGAAGAAAAAGAAGAAAAAAGGAGCAAGAGAAAATATATATACAGAGAGAGAAGTCGAGATGAAGATATAAAAAGAAAATCAGAGTAAAGAGAGAGAAGGGTTGTAAATGTCAGTAATAAATAAAGAGAACAGCGAGAAGAAAAAGAAGAGAAAGTGGAGCAAGAGAAAACACACAGAGAAAGAATTAGAGACAGGGATATAAAAAGAAAACCAGGGTAAAGAGAGAGAAGGGTTGGAACAGTCAGTAATAAGAAATAAGAATAGGAAGAAGAAGAAGAAGAAGAAGAAGAAGAAGGAATGGATGGTATGATCAATAACGATGGAGAAAAGGCAGAGAAAATATATATACAAAGAGAGAACTAGACGTATAAAAGGAAAACCAGAGCAAATAGAGAGGGGATGGAAGGTCGATAACAAAGAGAGAGGAGAGAAGAGAAAATAGAGAGAGTAAAAACTAGAAGAAATATACAAAAGATAGAACAGAGACTAGAACATTGTTCTCTGCGATCAACCGCCGTGAATAAATATACAAATATTTATACATAAATATTTAGATATAGATATACCAAATCGGTTCGCGCATGCTTAGTTAGACCAATGCCCAATTACCATATTCTCATCCTAGGCCTCAACGGTGGCCTTCTGGTTAAGCATAAGAAAAATACCACACGTTTAACTAGTGACTGACACATAATGTTGGTTTCTTTTTTCTTTTTTTTTTTTTCTTTTTTGATGGACGGATGCGCGAAGCTACCCCCTCGTGGGATTCGCCTCACACAGGAGCATCGTTCTCGATCCCTTCGATCCAACCTTCGAGTCGGACACGCGGCGCTACTCGCAAGCCGTACTTAAGCAATCGAGCACTCTCTGTACTTTACTTTTGGATTTACCGTCCGGGTTGTTACGTGCGAAACGCTGCCTCGTAAAGGGACCTACATAACGTTTACGCGATTGGGTAAATATATATACCGGTGCTCGGGCACGAGCTCGTGCGAAACGTTGCTGCTAGGTGCACTTTACCCGTCCGACTCGACAAGACGTTCGACTTAAAAATTTACAACTGCACAATTTAGCTGTAGCTTTTAATTTATAAATAATTCGCGAGTTCTAAACCGACGCGATAAAACCCAAAAAGTTTTCCATCGACTTAGTACACGGAGTAAGACGCAGAAAAGATACTACGTTCGACTGGGTTTTTAAGCCGAAAGGCGAGCTAGGTCTGACAAAAATCGCAGGATTCTCTATGTACATCGTATCACGCTGCGTTACGTCGAGATCCGGCGAGCAGAGTTTAAAATAGATCTCGCAGCGAAGCGAACCGTTTCAAGATCAATACGAACGGCGAGAATTGGATCGGTGCTGCGAAACTCGTGGAAACAAAACTGGAAGGAGCACGATCGCGCATCCATTTGAACGATGAATGAAAGGGCCTGCGAGAGAAAGAGAGAAGACAGTATATGCGGGAACACGGTGCACGTGCGCGTGAGAGAGATGACAAGGCCGGAAGGTGAAGAACGATGTTCCAGACGAGCTTCTCCAGGGTCTCGAAGGCGCTTTTTCATTAAAGCCAGCACGCTAATTAAACCCGAACAATCGTCGTGATCCCTTTCCTCGCCTAGCCGGGTGCACGTCGAAATCCTCGAAACGGGATGACAATCGAAGCAAAGGAGACATCTTATTAATCGACGCCTTGGAACCCCGAAGAACGCTCGTATCTCGCGACGAATCTTGTGCTCGAACGACGGAAAGACTCGTGGACATTCGCCGAATGGCCCAAACGTTTCAATCCCGTCTCTAGGACCTCTTGATCTTCGAAATCAAGACGTCCAGGTTTAATGGACTTTTGCTTTTGCTCTCGTTGCATGGCCATCGAGTCTTTCGCGAAGAATAGGTGTGTCTGAAGGGCTCCTCGTCAGCGGAGAATCGCTCGTCGTCGCACTAACTTGAAGGAGGCGTGCAGCTCCTGACGAAGGGTCAACGGCCTGTTCTCCTGCGTCGGCGTGTTCTGCGGCGTGCCAGGGCCACTTCCGGAGCTCCTCTTCTTCAGCACGCTCTTCAGCGGCACCGCGTGGAACTTAGGCTCCTTCGCAGGGATCTCCTCGATCCTGGACGTGTCGATGCTCGGGTCAGGCTGCGACATCATCGGCACGTACATGTTGTCCTCCTCCACGTCGAAGTCTTCTTCGTCCTCTGCGAGCAACAAAGGGAGATCGTGGGTCAGAAAACTGGCAGACTTTCGCGAGTAATTCTCTACGACAACGCGTGTTAACCCTTTCGGTACTACTGCGGCCATGAAACGTTCTCTGGACACTACCTATTGGCAGCATCCGCGATACGTCACCGATGACTGTCGTGATCCGAATGAAAAGTTTAGTGTCAATCACGCTCGAGACTTCTATGAATATCGCAAAACACGTTTTCAAAACGCGTTTCCAGTGCAACCACTCTTGCGGAAAACTTCCTCGTACCACAAATGTATAACCGCGGCCAGCTCCTCCGTACCGGAAGGGTTAAAACAGGTATCTTTGTCTCTTTTTAATTTTCTTCCTCTTCCCTATTCTTGCATTATCGCATTTCATCAGTGTAACTTAGTTATTTAATTATTATTAGGTTGGCAGAAAGATAATAGCGACATCTTTGATTAAAATGATAATTGCTTCGTTTGGAAGAAAACAAGCTTTGTTAAATGATTAAATGGTACAGTGACTATGTTGAATAATTAAAAATGAGATAGAGTTAGCGAATTATATATGTAAAGTAATGGCGGCGATTACTGGAAGCAGTGGGTTTCCTATTCTCGAAATAAGATAAGACACGTACCTTCGTCTTCGTAGTCTGACGACAAAGGGTTCCGTATTTGCCGCTGCTTAGCCAACAAGAGGGTAGGACTCGAAGAGCTGAACATCGGAGGAGGCGGAATCGGGCCGATCTCGCTCAACGGAATCGGCGGTTCCGGAAGTTCCGACAGCATCAGCGTGTTCTGAGGCGGGAGAGGGTAACACCTCTCTATTACCTGCTGGTTTTCGCTGCTTTGGTCTAGGACCCCCTTCTCCACTGAAAAAGAAAGAAAAGAAGCTCATTAATACACTGTTCAATTTATTTACCAATTTAGAGTAGTCATTATCACGACTACTAGTCTTGATACAGTCCTAACTTTATTCACCGAATTTATAGAAAATTATGAATTTCCTTTTTCGTAGAAATTCGTGTTTATTAAAATATCAATTTCCTTACAATATTTTCATAATTTTTTAAGTTTGTAAAGTAATTAGAGGAGGATTAACACTAATCCTTTGGAAATTTGTAAATTTTGATTCGATTCTTTCGCGATTATTCTTCCAATGTGCATAGTAAAATTAATTTCTGAATTTCCCTTCCATATTTTTCTTTCGGATATCTTTTATTTTTCCATCTACCTGTCATTTGAATGTCGTGGTAGGTTCTCATCTCATAATTGATGAGAATTGTATTATATTAAATTAAATTGCATCGAATGAACGCAATTGTAAAATTTTAATTAGATATACACGAATTAACGAGATGGTTAAGTATGCGGAAGTAAGATGGTTAGCAACGAGAGAGATTTAAATCGAGGATTAATAAAGTAATAGAATTGAACGTGTCTAGCTGCTTCGAGTGTCGCCCTATCGCATATTCTATTGGACCGAATTTCAATACCCCTGATTGAATTCGTATATAGAGTGGCCTACTTCTCTAGGATGGATCGAGTGACATGGAACATCCTATGATATTAGAATCTTTAAGATCGTTTCCCTTTTTCTCCTTTTTATCGATTCCATAGAAGACTCAAAAGTAAAATTGATTTTGAATTAGACAATTATGTTGAACAGCGTTATCCAAGATTAAAAAAATTCTTACAAAGTATATGTAACAAGAAAAATAATTGTATCATTCGCATAAAATGTGATACAAAGATTGCACGGAGCTGAAGACATTGAAATTTACCGAAAATCGATTGATACCAGAGAAACATGATTATTTAATTAACTAAACGTCGATACAAGAATATACAGGGCAAACTATACCAAATGAAGGTCACCCGAAGGTCAAGGGAAGTCATCAAAGACGTGTCACGAAGCTCGCAATCATTTAAAAGTCATTGCAGATTATGGCAGTCTCACTATCGAATACCAAGGTCACTAGAAGGTCAAGGATAGTCATAGCAGTTACGTTACAGGAGTTCAAACTCATTCGAAGGTCAATGAAGATTATCAGAGTAGTATAATCGAAGTTCAGAGGTACTCACAAATCAATAATCATTGAAATTACGTCAGAGAATCTAGAGGTTCGTTTTATTTATTATTTCTACCAAATATGCACAATAAATTATATACTTGGCAACCTAATTGTTGAGATTAATTAATAATATCAATAATAAAAATTGTATAATGATATACTACTACTACTACCACCACCACTACACTATTACTGCTATTACTACTATTAATAATAATAAATTAATAATTAATAATAACAATAAAATAATAAAATATAATAATAAAATTAAAAAAGATCGAATAAAATAAAATTAATAATAATAATAATAATATCTTAGTGACTCGCTTATGGTTAACTGACTAATTGTCTAACGTCCCTGGTATCGACACTATTCTTCCCACTCCAACCATGGAAGCTCGTACTTCCATGTATATATATTATAGTTCTATATACATACATATATCTTACTTTCAAAATATATATTACACTTATTACAACTATAATATTTCTTTTTTAATTGCCTACACCAATTAACGATTTACCTAAATATCGCGTAAAACTTTTCGAAACTCCAGCAGGGGGTGTTTCTTTTCACAACGGCAGATACAAACTCACCCCTCCTTCTTTCTGCCAAAAACAAACTATTCAAGAACCACAATAACTCGCACATAACCTCCGACGATTCACCACATTCGAGTCCACACAGTCGCCTATCAAATTTACTTGCCCTGCCACAATTTCAACCTACAACCTACCAACAACTCACCCCCGCTCCATCGGCCAGGCCATCTATCAAGCGACCTAATCAATCCCGACAATCTCGTTGCCATCAATCGAAACGACAATTTTCCCTCGTTACACGTCCACATAAACGTCCACACGTACGTCCACGCTCGAAATGCACTGCGAGTGTCAGAGCCGTAGTGGCCAGCGTTATTCATAGCCACTTCTCCGCGGTGTAGAAGAAACGCGTGCCAATCCTTTCGGGAAAACATGATTCATCGGGGAGTATAGATCCGGCGCGAAGCTTGGCAAGTGTGCACTGCTCCGTTCCGTTCTTGACAAATTGCGAAATTCCGTCACCCGCAGTTTTTCTCGCGGATTCCCTCGTGGCCTGCACATTTCCCCCGACCCCCTCCTGCCGCTTTCTTTTCCCGCTTTTCATTTCTTTCCTTTCGTCTCTTGGATTCCTCGTTTCCCGTTCCGTCACGGTTCATTCGTCATGGCGAGATTCCCGCGTAAATCGCGACGAACGAACGCTGCGTGGATTCAGAGGATGACGAACAGCGCGACGAAGGTTCCTCGTAAACTTGGGATTCGTTTCTTATTGTCGCATCCGGAAATGGCGCGGTTCTTCCGGCGTCGGGACGCGGATGGACTGATTTGGCAAGGGTTGCGAACGGGGTGCTATCGATGACACGGTTCTACTGGGGATTATTCGCGCGTTATTTCTGCGTGGGTGGCTCTTAGAATTTTCGCTGACAGGGGAAGGGTGATGGATGTGTCCTTTGTTCGAGATGCTTTCAGATCTCTGATCGAGATGTCGTTAAGTAATTGCGATTTCGATATTTCTGGGTTGATATCGTTAATATGTAGTAAAATTTGTATAATTTTAAGCAGGTATAATTCTTTTAGTCTTCGTGTTAGCGAGGCTAGAATGATGCATGTGCTCTCTGTCCTCGATGACTCTATTTATTTATTTTAAATCGTGGTTAAGCAATCGAGGTTGTAATATTTTTAGATTAAAATTCTGTTGCAAAGTGTGTAGCGATCATCATTCTCAATCTCGCCGGTATATGGATTCCTACTTGAAGGAGGTTCGAGGACTTTCTCGCAAGTTATAGAAGTTCCTATGCCACCTAAGTATCCCTGTCTTACTGATGAGTCCACTAGCAGGCCCAGGACGAAACGCACCCCTTCATTTTCCTATCGTCCCCCCAGACATCAACGACCCCCACAAGTGGCTAAAATTTTACATCGCGTGGAAGACATAATTTTCTACGAATTATATCATAATTCTCCTGTCCATGAAGCAAGCATTGATGGATATATAATTTTTCTTCATGGTTATAATTGTTATTTAACCTATTATCGAACAATTGGGATTTTCATATTAAAATTGCATTACGAAATGGCTGAGATTCAACACAGAGCATAATGAATAATTAAAGCTTTATTATACTCTTAAAAATCTATGGTCCTATTCTCACTAAACGCAGCAAATTTCTAAACCAAATTTACTCTACACATTTTGAGTGACACTTGCAAACACAACCAAATAACCGATTTAGCCTACATACACGAAGATTCAAGGATACGTCACAGTTTAAACAGCTAATTATAACTACAAACTTTTCTGACGCAAACTACAATTGTCAGCTATACTCCCAGCACCCAAAAGCCGAATAAGATAACCAAACCACGGCTAAGATATGAAAATCCGGGATTCCTATTATATTTATCTTCATCCCAAACTGTAATCACGATGCACGTAACGATCCACTTAGGAGACACTTAATTAAAAGTCAATGTAGCGATGCATTCGTACTAATTCCCGCCTATACACAGCTGGCAAGATTCTTTATCCAAGAATCTCGGAGTCGCCAAGTTCTGACGTTCGTTTCCGGGAAAAGCTCCTCGCTATTTTGCAAAGCGACTCGTTGGGCAACTTTCATTAAGACTTTATTAAAAAACTTTTCCCCCTGGCCAGGCAGGAATGTCTGAGTCACGTTAGAGACACAGGGTCCACCCAGCTGCAGTCCAATTTTTAACTGTTTCTTTCCATTTCGTCCAGTAGGGAATCAACTTCATCTCTAACCCTTTGTGGATGACCGCTGCATATATGCATTCAACGGAAATCATCAATTTGGCCGAGAAACTCATATATTCGTTGGGTTAAAACAACTGATAGGGTCGAGGGACTCATAAATGTGTCGTCCCACGTAAACGACTCGTTGCTATGGCCCAGAAACCCAAATGCGTCCGCTGTTGCGGCCCTAGGACCACACGTCCCAAGTTAAGTGGCGGATTATTTTATATTCTTATTACCAGCGTCGCTATGAATGAAAATCGCGTCATTAAGGCTTTCTAGCAAGCTATTCTTTTCATTTCCCAATTTAACATAAGTAAATGCGCCGGAAATTAGATACAATAATATAGATACAAAAAAGGAAACTGAAATGAACAAAAGGGGTTACAAATGAAAACTTAGACTATGAGATAGATGGCTCCAGCGTGAAGCCTCGCGATTTAAAATGAAACCTAACACGTTAAACGTCACGCCAGTTTTCCTCACCGTTTCGTTCACGCCATAGTTAGCAGTCATGTGGGCCCTCTTCTGGGCCGTACGGACCGGCGAGGCCTGAACGAAAAATTTAGCGCCGGTTTTTAGGGACCGGAGTGGCGTTTAACGTGGCGTTTTAAGCAGAAATGAACGCTGGTAGTTTTGAATGACTATCGTGGCAGTGGCTAGGCCCCATGCTACGGTTTACTCAAAATCGCTCCATCCATAAAGGGCTAATCGTTGCCTTCTATGAATCTTACACTGCGAGGTGTCTTAACCCTTTCGTTACAGTAATCCTCTCTGCTGGAGTGACGCTACTGAACAGGGCACCGCGTCGTGAAGTGTGCACATTATACACGAGGACACCGATTATAGTCAGCACCCGTAACGAAAGGGTTAAAATTATTATCATCACATAGTAATCTCCATCGAACTTTTACCAACAAACTTTGCCCATATCTCTAAAAATAGGGAGAATATTCCTAGTGATCAAAGATGTATAAAAACCCTAGCCTATGAAACAAGACTTCTC